GATATATATATATATATATATATATATATATATATATATATATATATATATATATATATATATATATATATATATATATATATATATTAATTTATGTTTAATACATTTTTAAACATAAATAGGGTTTAGATGTCTCATTTTAATACCTACCACTGGAGTTGCTCTTAAGTTCGAAAATTTTACAAGCCGAGCTTGGTTTCATTAAATATTGACATGGCGTTTTTCATAAATTAATTAATAGTTTTTGTATGTACTATTTTAAAACTTGACTTGATAATTTTATTATGATCACTTAGGTCGTTAATCATAGTCGTTAAATTTTATTTATTAGTTAATATTTATACTTTGACTTACATGCATGAAATTTATATATTATTGTATATTCTTAAAACTATTTTAATATCTATACTAACCATTCATGATTGAAGTAATCTATAATTCTTTCTACAGTTATTAATATATATTAATATTATAAATCCGACTTGAGCCAAATTTAAACACCGAGTCCCAGAAATAATATATAAGTAAATATAGTCTGATGGTACTTGAGTTAGAGCCGACCAAACATACTCGCTGTTAAGTGTATATTTATACACTTAATTATACCTTTTAATTGGAGCTTTTGGTGTGTTTTTACGATAATTGGTGCTTAATTTGGTTATTATTTGTATTTTAGGTGCGAATTGAAGAATTGGCAACTTTTGGGGTGAAAACTGCAAATTCAGAGAAAAAGTGGGCCAAAAGTGAAAAAACCAGATTTCTGCAGAATTAAAGCCCGCGCGGCCGTGCGGATTTGAAAGCATAATCTCGCACGGCCGTCCGGATAGTCGTAGGGGCGCAGTGAAGGAATTTTAATTACACAAGGAAACCCGCCCTATTATATTTTTGCACCCTATTTAAAGGCCACAAGCACACAATTAGAGATCATCTTTTAATCTTTTACCATCTATCTTTATTTTTAGTTTTTTAGCTTTCATCTTTCGACACGCAATCAAGGAGCACAAGAACGAAGACGAAGACTTGACGAATCTTCATCATAGTTCCCCTCCTTTATTGTTATTTATCGCTTTTATGATTTTTCGTATTTTTATTATGTTTTTCGTTACGAACATGAGTAGCTAAGTTTTTATTCTAGGATTTTATTGGAACCCTATGTGGTAACTCGAACCTATTTTTCTACTTTTATGCAAGTTTAATTCTTCGATTATTTCTTCTATCTTGATCGTATTTAGTGCATGAGCGTAGCTAACTTATGTTGCTATTTGTTATTGTTAGAATTGATTGACAGATCGTTTTAATAATTAGAACAGGGATAGAAGAGCCTTCGAGTAGTTTTTCACCGAATGCGCGTGTTAATTGCATGTATTATCGTAGACATACAGATAATACCTTAGGTAGCCGTTTGCGAGACTTGCTATTTAATGCTTTATTTATACTAGGTTTGCATAGACATATAGTGAATCTTTTATGAATAATAGGTTTATAGCGCAGCGACAGCTGGTTATGAATAATTTCGTGTCTTGGGTTAATAATCGGGAATCGTAACTTGCATAATAGGAGATTAATTGGGTGAAGAATTATCGCATAGGGGGAAGATAAAATCCTAGATCCGTTTATTATTGATTTTTCTCGTGATTACTTGTTTTCTTAATTATTTTAATTTTATTAGTTAATTAATTTGACAACCTTGCGTAGGCTGGATAAAAATCACAATTGTTAGGATTTGGTACTTAGGATTAAATAATTTACGTATTCCCTGTGGGATCGACATCCGACTCTCACGAGTCTACTTTACTACTTGTTTGCGATACGTACACTTGCGTGTTGGTATTTAGCACCAACAAGTTTTTGGCGCCGTTGCCGGGGAATACGGCTAAATTATTTATTTATCCTAATATTAAATTTGAGCAATTTTTCTTACTTCAGCCAATTTTTTTTTATTTTATTTAATTTTTTTTTTTTTTGTTTTAGGTACTTTTTATGCGAAGAGGACACGACACGAGCCTGCTACCTCTTGATCCCGAAATTGAGCGAACGTTTAGGCAAGCCAGGAGAAATCAACGGTTAGCCCAAAACACTCCGGCAACGATGGAAGAAGAAATAAATCGTGGGAGAGGT